GGGGGGGGAAGAGGCAGCAGGCACTTTCTGCCTTCTGCCAATTTTGCCAGCGAGGAATAAGCTTTGCAGACCCGAGCACTGACTGTACTGCTGGTGCTGGCCAGAACATATAAATCAATACTACAGAGAAGTCTCAGGCTAACATCACCAAACTGTGCGGTGGGGGGGAAAAAAAAATCATATTCCTTCCACATATACAAAGAAAAACTGTGGGAAAGATATTTTGGGGCATCGCTAGACAGTAACTCACGCCACTGTTGGTGGCTAGAGCCTAACATTTGCTGTCTCATACCGAGCCACACAGTACACGTGTGCCACACGGTCCCCCACACAAGCAGAGACTGAGGAGCCGTTCTGCCTTCCTCTGAGACCCATACACCGTTAGGTTATGGGAATAAAGGAATAAAAATCCTACTTCCATTAGTATTACTTGATACAAAACATCCAGAAAAAGCCCTGAGGAGGAAAGGGAAAAAGAAATACATGTACCTGCAGGCAATGGTTTAGCTAGGGGATCTCATTAGCAGGAAAAAATGAACTGCAGCAAACAATTGGGACTGATAAACACCAGCCTTAGTCTCCAAGTGCTGAAAACCAGGGCCATTTATGAACAAATATTATTTATTTATATATCACAGCACACACAAGCTGATAGATAAATAAATATCATCCATCCTCCCATAATATCTTTCATCCAGCTATCTCAAAGTTACTTGCCATGTTATTAAGGATTAATTGAGGGAATTTTCTCTGACCTAATCCAACCACCTTCTCTGAATTCCATTGCTCATTTTATCAGGTATGTGATCACCAAGATGTCTAGGACTGTTTATGTGAAATGTGATAGCATTTATGTCAGTAACATAATCAGAACAACAACTTTTATGTAAAATTAAATGACTATCCCTGTTGGTATTCTTTGGCTGGTTTATCACAAACAGCTCTTTTTGATTGTCACTATTAATCAAGAGCCAATTCAGGTAATTGCACTAACAATAGCCGGTAGTTTAATCAATGACCTAATTGCTTAGAAAATAAATATAAATGCTTGAGGTTTCAAATTTGGTTGGTTTGGGTTTTTTAATTAAACTGTTAATAAGAATGGAATTAAATTAACCTGTGATTGAATTGAGAAAGGCACGGCTCCGGCTAATGCCACATGGTGCAACAAGTCGCATAATTTTTGGCTGACCTTCCCCACAAGCAGATACTGAAGGTCTGAAGGAAGATGCTGACTCACTCCTGCAGACTCATTTTGGCATGAATAACTTAGAATTTGAGTGGAAAGGAGACCAAAGGGTTCAGACAGGTTTTTAATAGACAAAACTGGGCATTAAGGGTCATATCTGCAACAAAATAGTACCAAAAAGTTGTAAAGAAAGCAGAAGACAGTAATTCTAAGTTTTGACATGGTTCTAAAGGTTAGTGCTTATCTCAAACCTCAGGGAAAAAAGCAAGGTTGAGCCAAATTCAGTGGCTCGGTGGTGCAGTTTCTATAAATGGTACTGTTACTGCTGTTCTTCACGGAAATTAAAAAAAAATATACTGCTCAGCCCAGCCAATTGTGTAGCAATAACAATCAGACAATATTAGGAGCTGCAGGATTTGCTGATGCTTTCAACTTCTGTACTTCAAAATACACCCCAGGATCTGCCCCTCTGGTACACATTCCTATCAAAGACCAGAGCTCCGTGAATTCTCATCACTTCTATCATCACCAAAATACACAGAAAAGCACGTCTCCCTGGAAACAGGGATGTGCTGAGGGAGACGGCAGTGCAAGAGCAGATGGGCCACATCCCAGCGAGGTCCCAGGGCCAGGCAATGAAGAGGGTCCGAGGCAGGAGCAAGAGTCGAAATTCAGCTGGTACAAAAGCCAATAGTGAAACAAAACCTGCAGTTATGGTCAGGAGCTGGAAGGCAAGATCTGGTCCAGCATCACTGACAACAAAACTGCCAGGAAAGACAAACACCTGAGTAAGCTTTCTAGCACTGATGACAGAGAAGACTGAAATAACTTTGCTCAGTAGTCCTCTGTAGGATGCTCTCCCTCATTAATCCTGTATGATCTTATTTTCTTTAAATCCCCCCCTCAATATCTGTTACAGCTGTGATGCTGACAGCCACGGTGCCTCAAGACTTTAATGATCTCCCTATGTTCTTCTCTCAGCAGAGATCTCTCACTGCACGAGGAAGAGGCAGATGTCCACCTCAGCACGTAGCCACAATATTTTTTCAAGTTAGCTGCAGAAGAATCATGATGAGTATGTTAGGGTGTGTGGCCTCCACACTAAGCCTGTTAGTGAAGCCAGTTTGGGAAATACAGGTAAAAGAAAATACTTATTTTCTCAAAGGATCTGGCTGGAAGCTTTGTTGTTTTCTTTAGCAGAAATAAATGTCAAATTCTGGACATAAGCATTGCCAAACAGCTGGCATGCAAGGGAACACTGCTTGTCTCTTCTTGCTCTCTGCACTGTTTGCGCACGGATAATCCCTTGCAATTGTTGGTTTTCCCCCCCATATCTCACACACATCAGATATTTTCAGACAAGGTAAATGCCGAGGCAAGCACCTCAAAGCCCAAGGGGGATGCACACGCGTTCTGAGACCTATCACCCAAACTATCGCTGCCCGGTGTTTGTGTACAACCTGATAAGCGTCGCGGGCACGAGTGAGAAGCGATGCCAATGCGTGAGGTGCTCAACCATTTACAGTAATTGTGAAGACAGCCTTTTCCTCCCCAAAATAGCAGGCATGCCTCACCCAGTCCATGCTGGGTGATGACACAAGCTGAAACAGTAACAGGTATAAATATAACCCAGCACCACTCCTGTACGTCAGTGGCAGGACGCAGCGTGTCGCTAAATATAAGATATAAGACACAACGCGGATCAAGAACCCACGCACCTCCAGTTACTTTAAAATATCCACTCCAGCGGAACAGAACTCATTCTGACTCGGGTCTACTGGAGCTCTGAGACAGCACCCATAGGTGCTGCCCTTCAGCTCCCTCAGACGTGCCCACATTTTCCACTGGTAGAAGCACGCTCGGAGTTCGGAAGTGACGTGAGCGTGCTGCTGCGCTTATCTCTCAGTGATGCTTAGGAAAACCTTGTGCTAACCACAACTAGGAGGATTTAGAGTTGGAGGGCAGGATGAGCATTCTCCTACGTGTCCATGCGCTCATAATATCCAGCTGTCTGCCTCATCAGGTAAGTGCAAGTAAATCAACCACCTCTTCCAAACAAAACAGGTTCATTTCAGTCTGCCATTCACATTTACCTTCCTTTTCTCAACACTCTCTGGGGACCTGCTGGTGTCAGAGACCTCTGCCTTCCTCTTTAGTTCTTGCCTTTTACATCCAATCTAAAAAAAATCTCATTAACGGTGAAGCTTCTCCTCACGCCTGCAAAGTGCCTTTGTGTCACTGCCTGACCAGTTCTTCATCTTTTTGGAAATGGTACTTTAAAACTCCTTTTGACCACCGAAATACTCTCTAACCCCTCTCTCCTGTTCCTGCAGTGTGTTGTTTTCTCTGAAGTTGTATTATTAAATCAGCAGCTTTCCCCACTCGCTGCACACCGCTCCAGAGGATGAGAAAACACTGCTCAGGGGAAAAACGCCTCTACCCAACAGCAAAGCCCTCATTAGCCTTGCTGTCCTCAGCAGAAGACACGTCGCCCTCAGCCACCACAGCACCCGTGCCATGTCACCTCGTAGGCACCCCTCTGACCCCTAACACCTAGGGAATGGGAGCCCATGGTGCTTTAAGAGGAAAACCTCCACTAACAGCAAAGTCACTATTTTGCATTTGCCGTGTAAGAGTTGACACCAGTCAAATACAGTGAATTCTTATGGTGCTTCAAAGGAAAGCTCAGCTCTGAAACTCATAGAAAAAAAAATAAAAAAGATCAGCAGTAGCCATATTTTCTTGGCACACCTGCTGTTAAGGAATGGCCATTTCTTTCAGTGCTGCGACTACACAAGAAGATAGACAGACAAAAACTCTGGGGACTTCATCTGCAGCAACATCTCCAAGTCTCATTAAGGACATTCTGCTGAGAAAGCAGCTGAGCCAGTAGCTGCCAAACATTCATTTTTGTCCCTTCCCTGGGATAAGAACAGGGGAATATTAAAGCTGGGCAAGGGGAGAAGTCCACCTCCCTGCTCAGGGAGCCATAAAACCACTGCAGAATCCACTTTACAATAATGGTGCATGAAACGGCTAATGTGATTTACTCCCCGGTGTAAGATAGGCTTGCATATAGATTGGGGTTCCCTGCAGCAATAATAGCAGGGGCTATTAGCTTAATCCTTTAAGTACTGAGCTCACTGACCACTCTTCTCCCCGCCAACCATATGCAAGGACAGCAAGATTGTTACGAAAGGGGGTTTTACGACTACAGGTCTTCCTCCAGCTTTTAATACGAAAATGATTTATTATGCTCAAAAGGAACATCACATGTGTCTGCAAAAAGCTATATCCCACACTTAAGTTAATTACCCCAGCTTGCCTAGAAGGCAGAGTCGGTGCATTTCCTGAGATCCCTTGGCAGGAATACGCTTTCATTGCAGCAAGAAGGTTTCTAACCTCATTGAGGACTGAGTCACGACTGCCGTCTCCTCCTCTGCATTCCCATCCATCAAAAGCACATATTGTTTCAAGGAACCCTGGCTCTGGCGCATTTTGGCTGACTGCTAATAATCAGGTAATACATAACCACAATATTTATGTTTGGTGAGTTAGAAACGGAAATCACACATAGGGCTGGGGCAGCACAGATTATTTCCACGAAAGGAAAAATGGCTTCAATTTATTTAATTGTATACTCAGCCAAACACAAAATCACTCTTTACTCAAACTGCGCATAATGAATCGATCTGTATCCTTATGGCACGCCCATCAAAGCAACAAGGAGCTGGAAAAGATCTCTTCGACCTTCAAGGCCAGTCCTCTGCATGTCACAGTGCTTTTCCCCCAGGGACAGTGAGCAAGCACTGAAGGTGAGAGAGTGACAACTTGTTGCAAGTATTCTCTCACAAAGTACCAGATAAATAGCTGGAACTGTTTCTACCATAAAACACAGGAGATAATCAAACCTCTCTCTTTCAGAATAGCAGAATCCCTGAAGTAGCTCAGGTACCACAGAGAACAAATCAGGCTACCTGTCCATTAAAACAGGTGGGAACTTAACATATAACGCCAGTCAAGGGCTGCAACACAACTTCTATTTCTGCGTGTTTTACTAGCATGAAATAAAAGTGACAAAGAGACCCGATCTCATGTTTAAGTCAAAACAAAATTCACAATAGTAAGACAGCCCCTGTAATTAGCTACACTTATAAGTCACTTAAAATTCTGTTTGCACAGCTGAGAGCAGCTGCAGGTGGTCAGAAACACACTCAAAGTAGCTGCTGACTGCAGAGCAAATTACCATCAGAGAGCTCATCCAGGGATTTTCTTTGCAGGTTAGTAGTAAGGGTGCCAGAGGAGAGCCAAGCAACATCACATGCCCATTTCTCTCTAACAACAAATCATCAATTATTCCATCAGATAATAACAACAACATCTCATCCTATAACCAAGGTAATAAAGCCGTCTTCGTTTCAAATGCCTAACGCACAAGAGAAGCATGCATATAGCAAAATACCAAAAAGCATCACAATTCAGGAGAGAAGTTTTCCCTTTAAGGACTAAAGAAATACTCCCTCTTTTTTTTTTTTTTTCTAGAAACGAAGGCATTAGAAGATTTGAGACTGCCCATCATTATATTTCTGCAAAAGATGCAAAGAAACCTCTTGTAAAATCAGCTGATGATTCATTCACATTTCATCTTCTAACTTAACCAATAGAAAGAAAAAAAAGAAATTCAATTATTAAAAATAGAAGCTAAAGTTCAGTATAGTCTCTATTCCCACTGAAACTCTGAAACATTGATTTGCATCTTACACTCAGCTTTGTGCTTGTTCATTCAAGGCCTGCAAGAACCATGAATGCATCAGTAATAGACTATTGGCTGGTGCACAGATACCAAAAAGCACACCACAAACATACACCATTTCACTCTCAGGACTATGAAGCTCAGTAGCCTAAACCAGGTTTTTAACTCTGATCTACAGAGCCCTGCAAGGTCCCTTTGAGGACCTGCAATGAGCAGCTGAGAGGCAAGATATAACCATGCATAACTTGAGATGTCTTGTACAGGGGAAAATAACCCTATTAACAGGTGAACTGCTCCTTTAGGGTGGCAGGTCTGAAAGACTGTGGCACAGGAGGGGGGACTCAGCAACTCAACACCAAAACCTAAGTAGCAAGAGTTCCACAAGATCAGCCACATGCTATAACTGTCTCTCGGGGCAAGAACTGGCACATTTGGCAGAGGCAACTACCACCCCAACGACCAACGCTAGCAGAGCAGGGGCAAACACCACTTGCAGAAGCCGCTTCTGCTCACGCCACAGGCCTTGCCCTTTCCTTGGGGCCCTCGGGGGATGGGAACACCTCAGACAGCGGGAAGGAGCAGAAGGCCCGAACCCACTGCCCGGTCCTGCTCTGCCCTTGGATGAGACCATGGATGCAGGCCCCACCCTGGCACCTCAGGGTGGAGGGGAATGGGCTACCAGCCCTCCACACCAGGAGGCCACCCAGGCCAAGGTTTTTCCCTGCTGGAGCCAAAGAGCCCCCAAGCCCCCCAGCATCTCTCAGGCCAGATTGCTACCACCACCCCCACCCCCTTTATATAGCC